CGTACGACCGTCGTACGCTAGCCTTTGCCATATATATATATATATATATATATATATATATATATATATATATATATATATATATATATATATATATATATATATATATGAGGAGTTCTATGGTACCCAGGGTGAAATCCGGGGTACCGCATACCTTGAGTATGAAAATGCTATCCAGACCTTGAATTGACTGATCTTTCGGACATGATACTATACTCTAACCCTTAAAGATCAAAATCTAGGTCTTAATTCTCTAAATCTTATACCCCAAGATCAATTTAATTAGAAACAATAATCGACGGTTGTGATTCGTCCAAATATAGGCAAAAAATGAATGAACCATCTTAGGGTTTATAGTTTATGATTTAGATAATTAGGACCTAGGGTTCACTCATTAAGGGTTAGGGTATAGTATCATGCCCAAACATCCTGCTAATTCGAGGTCTGGATAGCGTTTTCATACTCAAGGTATGCGGTACCCCGGATTTCACCCGGGGTACCGTAGAAGGCACCATATATATATATATATATATATGTCTGGCATACGCTATACATCAGCGTTCACACTATCGTACCCCGGTCGAATTTACTATTCAAAACACGTGTTAACTAGATTTTTGGGCATGATACTATACCATATTATCTAATGAGTGAACCCCAATCTATAATTCTCTAACCCAAACCATTAAAATAATTTAATCTAAAAAATTAATAAATGACTGTTCTGATTCATCGAAATATATCAAAGTACATATAACAAGTGTGAACGCAGACGTATAGCGTACATCAGACATATGCTAGCCTTAACCTTATATATATATATATACGGTTAAGAATGTGAATCAATGTGATTTTTCCAGTTACAGACTACAAGCAAGAATGCAAGAATCAAGTTCATTGCTATTGTGAGTAAAGTTGTTCCGACAATATGTTCTTAATGCATATGCATTGGTTGAGGATGAGGATGAGCGTTTGGATTGCATTAAAACAATCAAACAAAGCTTTAACCACATTAATACCAAGGTCTTTTGGATTCTTATTTGATAGGTGATACAGATACAAGTTTGAGTGAGAAAACATGTGATTTTAAATTTATCACATATATTTAGTCCTCGATATAGCTACGAAAGCTTCTAGGATGTTATGACAATTTGTAGATGGGCAGGATATCCAATATTTTCATTATATTTATATGCAAACCTGATTGGCTTGAGATTTAATACATGTTTGATTTGATAATGACTACTACTAAGAAAGTTCCTAATATATCTTATGTCCTCGCAAGAGTTTTTGAGAAGAAGCTAAATCCATTGCCGAAGAAGATTTTGGAGAAGAAATTTTATGGGAAAACATGCGCGTGTAAATTACATTTCATAGTTTTAATTTAAGAATCCTTAATGCTTTGTTTATTAATTAATTTTTTTCAATTTATATTATTATTGATAATTTTTTTCATTATATATGTTAAAATCCCAAATCCTAAAGCAAATCTCGAATGCTATGAAGCATTTACAAATTTTATGTTTCATGGTCCATGTGGCATGTGACATTCAAGGATCTAAAGCTTCATGTCCAACTAATGGTACCAATTTTTGGCAATTAGGACAAATCTTGGATATTATTGTTCATAACTTGAACGAGGTAAAATCTACTCCAATGAAAAAAGATGATTTGTATTTGTAAATATTTTACCATTAAAACAAGGAAGAGATTAATGAAATGCAAGAGAAGAAGGACAGGGCAATTGATAATGCAGATAAATGTATCACTAATAGAGATGATGACATTATTATTGGTGGATGATAATGTTGCTCATGGCGGAGTAAACAAGTAAAAAAGAAAATGTACAACAATCTCTACGATGATGACTAAATAAAAGTGTGGTTTGAAAATGTTTTTAGGAGTCAATTCCCTTGCATGGGGTTTGTCTTTCGTTTTCGTAAAAAGATTTTAGTCGATGAGCCATTAGAATGTCAGAAAAAATTATATGTTGAAGTTTTTTTTTTTTGAATTGTTGAAGTAGTTTAATAATTTAGACTCTCTTATTCTACCCATGAATAATTTATATTTTCTTATACCACCAAAAGAACGTGTATCTCACATACAAATTAGTATTATTATTTACGTAATTGGCGACTAAATCCGGCCAACTGGCCGGGCCTGTGACTAGTAATGGTGTCAAAGTTAAACCCGATCGACCAATATCCTGTTCAATGTTCATCACGCTTATACATATATGTTATGTAACAAGGTTTTTTTTTACCAATTAAGTCTGATTAATTGAAAAATGAAACTCTTTTCCATTAATTTTTTTTTTTGGTTTTCAGACGGCTGGAGCATAATCAATTAGGCGGATATATTCCAAGAGACCTTGGCCTGATCCCAACTCTTAAGCTTTTGTAAGTATTTCCTAATTAATAAATTGTAACCAGAATTCGGAAAATCATTATTCCAAATCCTTATATGATTGATTATTATTGTGTAAGTATGTATTCATTAGCGACGAGCTAGGTTGCTATTCGTTTCAAATTTGTTTTTTTTTTTAAGATAGTAGTTCCAACTTTAACATAGGTAAAATTACATCTAAAATTTGTAATAAATATAGAATATAAAATAATCGGTAACACTTTATAAATTTCCTTTTTTCATCCAAATCAACCATTTTTTATTTAGATTTTTTTGCTCCGTCACTAATACTAAACGATTTTAACCACTCGATCTTTGGCATTAACAGAAACATTTCATTCAACAAATTATGTGGAGATGTACCTCCCGAGGTTGCACACATTCCGGGAGCCGAGTGAGTCCTCGCATCTTACTTTGTTTTCGAGTATTATAAAATTTACTAAGGGGTCGTTTGGATTAGAGATTTTGATAATGAGGGATTTTAATTAAAATCTCTCATTTAAAATACCAGGAAATTATATGTAGGATTTGATCGAAATAACTTGTTTGGATTGAAACGCAGAATTTTAATCTTAAAACTCAAATTACAATATTGTCCTCTTTAGAATTTAACTTCCCTTGTTTCTTCGTCTGTTCATTGTTCATATTCCCCAACAAATGCTTGCTCTTCTTCTCTGCTTCCATCACAAACTCTGAATTCCATAATTGTTTGCAGATCAAACAAGAAAATAACAAACCCATAATCAAAGACAAATAAGGACCCCAAACCCAAAATCGTAGATACTTCTCACTCCCTTCCAATTTCAAACGACCTAGCTGGTTCCCCTTTTGTCTTCAACTTCATATGGCTCGAGCAAGCGATTGGGTTTGCACAACAAAGAAAGAACCGGCACTCGATTGAAATCCAGATTGGGCGATTGTCCTTTTCTCTCCCATCTGCCCCGGGTCCTTGATATTTCATTTGACCCCGCCGATTCCCCCGCTTCTTCTCAATTCATAAGTAGGCATATTCGAACAGAAAATTGGCGCCGCCGTGGGGGGTGTCTGCGGCACGACCATTGAACCCAGAACCAAGAGAGAGCTTCTCTGCCACAAAGAAATTGTCAATGGATTGTTATTAGGGTTCATGCACGGCGGTGAAGGGGACCAGGGGAGTCAACGACAAAGGATGGCGGAAGAAGGTTGATAACTGCGATGGTGGTTGGGGAAATCTGGATGCTGCTCCGGGATGCTCTGTTTCGGCGGTTGAGAGTGGAGTGAGTGGAGGAAGAAGGAAGAAGAGTCGAACGAGGGTAGGTTTTGGAATAAATGAAAGAAGAACGAGAGATTTGGAAATAGCCGATGGTGATCAGCTATTTCAGAAACCCACAATTGAGGGTTTTTAAATTTCCTAATTGTAAAATCTCTCATCTTTCTCAAACGCAGAATTGTGTTAAAATCCTGCAAAACGAGAAATTGTTTTAAAACCCCTACGAAATCCCTCATTAAAATCTCTAATCCAAACGACCCCTAATATTCTTGTTATTTTTGTTTTTAGTTTTTGAACATATTGATATGCTTGGCTTTTCGAATTTATTATTATACTTACCATTTTTTTTTTGTTGCAAATGCAGTTGGTCTAACAATCCTGGAATTGGGAAACCTTGCCAATGAAGATGAATACATAAATGAATGAACTCTTCCAATATCTTTTGTTACTTCAGTTTCGCTGGTGTTCTCGCAATGGATCTGTTATTGATAGTGGAATAATCAACAAATATAATAATGGTGAAATTAATTTGTTTAATTAAGTGAATTCATTCAATTCAATTCAATTCTATGAATGTTACCGATAACAGTTGGTAAACAAATGATCGTGTCCTTTCAACCACCTACCCTTTTAGTTTCTCATTACCTACTATAAATTCAGAGCCTCTCATTGTTTAGGATACAGGGTTTTCCTGCTTAATACGAAAATTTGTCTGCATAAATTTCTTCATTGCATTTGTCGGTGTTCTGGGGTTTGCAGAACCGCTACACTGAAAAACATAATTTGTTCTATCATGTGAGAAAATGTTCTATAAACCTAGATATCTAGAGAGGGGAACTAATTTCCTTAATGAGAATTAGTACCTATTATCAGTTCGAATTTAGTTTGCATGTTATGTGCCCTTCGTATTTATAAGTTGTATATTGCATCACAAGATATACGTAGTGATTCTAGAAATCTTAAGAAAATTACTACTATATGTTATTGTTCCCATGTACGACGTAGTTTCAGAAAATTGCATTTTTTACAACACAATTGGTAACTTGACTCCTCCAAATTACAGAGGTTCGGTAGGAAATGGAGGAGTCAAGGAGATTGAGGATTGTGATCCAGTCATGAGATATTCCGTTTTTGTGTTGCTTCAAGAGCTTTTTTGGAGTGGTTCAATAGAGCAGGAACAAATTAATATAAAGTTGCGTCTTATATTTGTCATCAATTGTCGCTTTGGCCGAGTGGTTAAGGCGTGTGCCTGCTAAGTACATGGGGTTTCCCCGCGAGAGTTCGAATCTCTCAGGCGACGAATTTGAATTTTGTTTTACCACTTTTTCTCAATGCTCTATCTGGCCGGACTCCTCTCCCGCTGCCGGTGGATTTCCCGGTCTCTTTTCTTGTTTTACCATTGCGCCTCGGCCCTCTTCTTCTCTCGCTTCCTTATTTCCCCAGCTCGATTTCTTCTTCGCAATAGAAACTCCGAGAGGGTTTCTGAGTTTGGTCTGAACTCGTAAGCTCTTAGAACTCCGAAAATCTTGAAGCGTAGGACAATCTATTCTAAATCGAGACTCCTGGCCTTGGGTCTTAGCCAAAACGGAGAAAATGGCGACGAACCTCATGCCTCCTCCGCAGCCACCGCTACCGGGTACTGACATGACGGGGATGTGTTTCAGAGACCAGCTATGGCTCAACACATACCCTCTTCTTCATCGTAACCTAATCTTCGATTACTATGGCTCAACACATACCCGCTTCCCCCGAATTCCCGTATCCCGTTTTGAAGCTGTTGAGCTTTTCGTTCGTGGGTTTTTCTGTACATGTTGAGCGAAGTGATGGAACCCCATTTGTTCGTGATGGGGAAGCAGCGGAGGGAGAGCCCTGAGAGAGTCACTTCATTTGCTCACCTATTACGTCTTGGATGGCTCCATTTACCAGGCTCCTCGCGTCTGTACTGTCTTTGCTGCTCCAGTTGTAAGCCCCTTCTCTTGCCCAGTTCATGATATCCATTCACAGTGCGTTGGATTCTGAGAACAAATTTGTGATTTAGTCTAGATTTGACTGGCTGCTAATGGTTCCAGGGGCGGGCTTTGTTATTACATATCCAAAGCTTTTACTGCTGCTGCAGCTTCCAAGTTGGAGAAGATTGGTTATGGTAATTGACTTTTCTCCTTATTGAAATGGTAATCTCGTTGTGCTTGTGCATTTAGAAGAGTGTGGCTTTGATGTTCATAATAATTTGAATGGAAATTGAGATTTCGTAACAAGTGGTTGTGTAGATCGGTCTCGTGAATACTGAATGCTAGAATGTTTTGATCTATTGGGATCATCTCTTAGCTCAATGTTATGTCGTTATAGGCAAGAATATCACCATGCTTTTGGATTGTGTATTGACTTCTGCATATCCTTCACTCTGCGGGTCAGATCCGGTGCTTAAGCCTAAAAGTTTAAGCATATGCTTAAAGCATTCCTATTGGCTGATAGGATTTTAGTTAGTTTATGGAAGGTTAGTAGTTAATAGATTGTTAAGGGTAAATGAGGTATTATGAGAAAATAATAAATAAATAAAATAATTATCCTCTCTCCTAAAACTCGGGATTAATAGAAAATCTGGAACTATGTAATTATATTTAATGAAATTTCATATTTAAAACTAAAATTCGAAATTAATATTTAAGTTTTAAAAATGGAAATTCCAAATAAGAAAAGCTCACACCCTCTCTGTAGAGGCTTCTTTTAGCGTTATTAACTATTTCAATATAATCATTAATGCATTAAGATTATATTATTAACAATCTTGGATAAATTTTTACCGATTTATATTTTCATCATCAACATTTACGAATTATTAAAATTATACCACATAATTATTAATGAATCAAATAACATTATCATTGATTTACAAAATTTTTACTAACAATTCTTGCATAACATTAATAATTTCTTCATAATCGTTGATAACAATTAAAAACCAATATTATGCTTTCTGAATATTTTAATAAAACGGACATGCAAATGTCAAAACGCTAATAATGATTCTCTGATTCTCTCTAATAACAGATTTGCACATAATAGAAAATTTCTTCCATCCAATTTGATAATGATGATGCATAACATTGATAATTCCTCCATAAAATTGCGATAAAAAAGTTGAAAATGTTAATAATGATTATAGTTGTTGTTGATAATTACCTTCCGATTAATAATAATAATTTTGCATATCATTGATAATATCTTGCATCCAGGTTGATATTATTATTAATTGATAATGGTTAAACAACACTAAAATTGATCTAGAACCATTAATAAATACGTTTGTTTCAAATAAGTACATAATCATTAATATTATTGATAAATCGTATGCTTCTGGTTGTTTCTTCTTTGGCAGGTTGCAGAACACCTTATGTAACGTATTCTTAGTTTCCAGCATGTCATCAACCTACAAAGACAAAATTAGAACAAATATATGTTATTATTACAATAGCAATGCAATATAAACAAATGGGTTTGTTTAATTTAAAATCACCGATATTAAAAAAAATATCAAAACGTTGAGTACGACACTCTAAATCGTTAATAACTAAGTTGTGTTGTGTTGCGTTGAAAATGCAATCAGTATACTTATTATTGACATACCCAATCATTATTACAAATTCAATATACTTATCAATGTTTTACGATTGCATTATTAACGATTTAAAATCACTTGTTAACGATTTATATTTTGTCATCAAGTTTATGAAGATATTACTTAAGTTATGTCGCATCATTATTAACGGTTTGAATAATATTATCATTGATTTGCAACATATTTATTAACGATTCACTTTTTCAAGTCATGTTCGAACTAGCCAATCATCGTCTTTTACAATGACTTTGAATGACATTATTAACATTTTGCAATCAATTATCATCGATTCACAATGTCGTTTTTAGCGTTTATGAAATTAATTTTTATTGATATGCCCCATAATTATTAACGCTTTCAGTAAGTTTTTAATTGATATTAGCATGCAAAAGCTTTGACAATTAACATAGTTTTATTAATAATACCGCCATAAGTGTTACTAATTTGATCATACAAATTAAGAATTGTCGCCTTAATTGTTAATAATATACGCCTACGACTTAATTTGACCATAAAAAAGGATAATGACGTTGAAACTATTACTAGTTTGATAATTACGACCAAAAACATTAATAACGATAAGTACAATCATTGTTAATCCAACATCTCCCATACGTTTATAATACAATTATATACATCATTGGTGAATCAACGTGAAATCATTGCTAAATACCACTACTTTGCTAAAACGGCGTGCTAAACTTTCAAACAAAAATAACTTCAAACCCAAAACAAGAAGAATAATGTACATAAACGCCAGCGCCGGGCAACGACCGTTCTTTGCAGCGGCCGTAAGAAGACGATGTTGACCGATGAATGAAAGGTGGAGACGATGAAAAACAACAAACCTCAGTTAAAAAACCTGCCATCTTCCCGGCGGGTATCACAAATGCCAAAGACAATGCCCAAGGTTTTTTCAGCTCCGTCGAGGCTTTCTTGACGATTATGGAAGGAAGGGAAACGAAGCGGCGCGGCGGAAGAGGAATGGCCGGAAGCCGCCTGGTCGAAGACGGGAGAGTGATGGGAGGAAGAAGTCGCAGATATAAAAACCTAACCGGCGGTATATGTGTTTTAGGGTAGACGTTTTTTTTTTTGGCTAAGGTAGAATGTATTAGATAGGGCATTACAATGGATTAAAAAGAAGATAACGGAAATCAGCCATATGCTGATTAGCCGATGCAAGAGCTGTTTTCGCCACGCAATGGGCAGCCCTGTTAGTATGCCTAGAAACATAAATAAACGAATAAACGCAAATGAAGTCTTCTTTTGAAAAACTTCTTGAAATACCACTCCGCCAAGTACAAACTTCACATAGTTGATAAGTCGGGTTCCAATAGGCTAGGAGTAGATCTGATATGCAAGCTACCTGCAAAAACACAAACGACCCTCAAAGGGGCAAAATAACACTCAAGTACCACCAGGTTGCCACCAATTGCTCCACATGCCACCAATTGCTCAACAAGCTATGCGAACTCCGCCGTCTACATCCCAAAAAAATACCAAAACCGGCTCTTAGAGAAATTACACTCCAGGCCTAACGAAAAGCAATTCCTTAATATAAGCAAGATGCATAAAATAAGCGAATACAAAACCAAAGCAACACCACAGCAAAAATACCAAACACAAATGTAAACATTATAATAATGAAATATATAATTAGTAAGAGGTAGAAGACTTAGCTAAACGTGGTTAGGATTGGAACCGCCTATTCAGCAAATTTGTAACTGCCCTGGTATTGTAACCGACCAAATCATTTTGCACCAAAGATTGTAGGCTTCGAACTTGTAACTGCCACCGAATGTTGGATGCCGGAATTGGGAATGGGAAGAGGGAATGGCCGGGAATCGCCGTTGCTGCATACTGGCCAAACTGCCAACCATGGCACCGCTGTAGCAGCATTCCTGTCGTTGGGGAGTCCTACAAAACGAACAAACAAAATAGAGTCGCTCTATGGCACTCTGTATCTCCATGAAAACGGAGTCAAACAGGCCCATAAGCCATAGGCGGTAATCTGAGTACCGAAACATAGAAAGTAGCTCAACGCGTCAGGGAGATCCAATCCAGTGTCCCTGACTTTGCTCGCAACTAGGCGAGTCTGGTACTCAAAGAAGAGTGCAATTGATAATCAAGAGCAGGAGGCGGCGGGATCCCAAGGCAACAAAAGAAGAAGCCAGGAGACCACGAGGAGGGGATCTTCTTCTTCGACATCTCAACCAAGAAACCACCAGTAGTGGCGAACAGAGCCGCCACCATGATCAACCATCATCATCCGAACCCATCGACTGCGATGGAGAACTTATTGTTCCCCTGCCGCGGCCGGCAGCAACGGACCTCCCAGATCTGGCCTCCGGTCTCCAACCTTCAGATCGCCACACCCTTTTCTTTTCTCTCAACGGCTGCCCTTCACTTTCTTTCTTCTCTCTTCTTCGACCCGAGACGGCCAGCATGGCGGCGCCGCGGTGATGAGGTGGAGCAACGGCGTAGGAGATCGACAATGGATGGCGCAATGACGGCCTGGCGGTTCGGCGATGGGGCTGGTCTGGCGGTTGTTTTCTTTGGGGTATAGTTGGTTTTCGTTCGACGGCGACGTTTTAGGGTAGACGTTTAGTTCTCCTTTAATTATGAAATTAGGTTTAATTTTAAATAAATAATGTACACAATTTACTGCAATACCCTTAACCACTTATTAATTAATAACTTTTTATTAACCGCCTAATCTACGAACAACCAATAGAATTGATTTAAGCATATGCTTAAGTTTTTGGGCTTAAGCACAGGAACTTCACCCTGCATATTTCAATGTAATGTGATTGGTAGGTGATGGATGGGCTGTGATACATTCTCTAATGCTTCCAGTCAAGCTTTGGCTAGCACTTGTAAGTTGTAACCTGATTCTTTTGTTGCGCTGCTGGATATATGCGTAAAGTGCATGGTTGTGCAATCCTTGTTGCTTCCTTGTTCTGAACAACTGAGTATCATTTTTGTGAGAATGTTGGTAGTTTATTTTCCTTGCTAGTTGCTACTGATAGCAACATCACATGTTGACGCAGTTGAAACTGAGGGCGAGGAGGCACCTTCTGACTCAAAGACTAGCAAAGATAAAATTGACTTTAAGGAAGAGAGAATAGACCATCTTCTTGCTTCCTTACAACCCAAGGTGAATTTCGTGACAGGTGGTTCATCCATCGAAGAAGATCGTTTAAACCATAAATGGTTGATCGTATCAAGGTAAATTTTGTTCCAGGCTCTCTCGTTTCTTGCAGTTACTATACCTGCTCCTCCACGGCCACCATTCCCAGAAGGCTATGTGCCCCCTGCAAGTGGTGAACAGAGAAAGCAGCTGAAGGACATAAACAAGGAGGGGATGCACAACCCCTCCTCCTTCCATCGATCCAATTATTGATCAAGGTCCGGCTAAGAGAATGAAATTCTGAAAGTAAGTGCGTCCAGGACAGATAGATTCTCTTCTTTGGGATGGGTGTATGAAAGACAAAATCTTGTATGCCAGGGAAAACGTAGGGAACAGTGTAAGTGCAGCAGTTCTTTTGCCGTTCTTTTCTTCTACCCAGCTTAGAGTTTGATTATTCTGGCAATCATGTTGCTTGTAGTACGGAGGCTAACGGAGAGTGACTAAATGTGATATGTTTCAGTAATTCGAGTGATCAAAATTGATATAAATTTTTTATCTCGATCAATCAATCGATCGAGGATACCACATAAAATCGTTTGTCTCGTGTGTTATTTCATCTTTCGCCTCATCAAATTCTTCAGAGTTCAGAGTTAGGGATAGTTGGAGTTCAGGTATGCTAAAGTTGTCAATCTTACTCTTAACTATGGATGCTACTTGTTATTTAAAGTTAACTAGATAATTGGTCTGCGCGTTGCGGCGGGTTGTCAACACATATATCAATCAAGTAAATTTTAGATGAATCTTTTCTTAAATTGAGTGGGATGCCTTTAGAGATTGAAACTAACATTTTAGATTGTTTAACCTTTTGATAGAAAAATGATTTTGGATAATAATTGAGTTTTTATCATTAATCCGCAGTATTGCCTCAACGGGGATAGTACCTAATTTTGATCCTTCTTTTGATATAGATAAATGTATCAAGTAATGGATACTATACTTTAAAATCAATTAAAACACATGTATTCTTATATTTAATTTCTATGTATCTCAAAGATAATTAACATTTGAACCCTAGACCATCGTTTTGTTCCAACTATTACTCATATAATGATAACAAAGTCAAACAATATTGAGCAAGCCTCATTGTGTGACTATTGTATTACGATAGAATGCTCATAAGTACGTATAAGGTTACACTATATGTTGGGGGTAAGGCTCTCTTTTAATTAATAACTTTACACTTCACATTTTTTATAATATATTATAAAAAGAATAGCTATTAAGTAAGACTCTACTGCCCTACTACTATTACCTAAACTAGTGTGGGCTAAACTAGTGTGGGCCCTAGCCAGTTGGCCGGAGGAAGGTGATGTATGAAATTTGATAATGTAATGGGGTGTATAGCTTATTGTTGTATAGTTTTTTTTTTTGGAAACATGTGATAAAAATAATGAATTTTAGTAGGAAAGAGACATGAATGATGCAACGAATCAAAAATCGGCCTTATGAACCAAAATCAAGTATCTGTTACCTTGTGAAACAATATTGTTTCTAGTAATATGATGAGGTGGAGTAAGTTTTATAGAAACCGGATTCCAGAAAATCGAATAAAAAATCGCCTATCTCGTAGGTTTTCGGAAAATTAGCATCTCACAATCGTTGCTAGCTTTTACTCGACCCGTTGGCCGATTAATTTGCTTTATATAACTTTCATCTTGTCGTCATTGTGCTTTCTGGTTTTTGTCAGGCCGTGATAAAATCTAAGAAAATCACGAACGAACAACACGATTTGGGATAGGAACCACCGTTGTCGTACCCCTAGAAAATGGTGGTAAACACGGACTCACCTGCCAAACTGGTTTGGATTGAAATTTTTATAGAGTATCAAGGAACCATGTGATTATAAATTAGACTTGATCAAAACGGGCCAAAACTTGAAATTAAGCCTGTTTGACCGACCCATGCAAAATTCTAATTATTCTTAACTTTTAAACTTTCTATTTGAAAATAAAAAATAGTGAAAGAAAAGAGATGACTGCAATTCGCCATTTGCACATCACTTATTCGGGAATAAAACCATAGAAATTCAAAAGGAAATGAAAATGTTTAGGATCGTTTTAATGTTTAAAATAAAAAAATAGATCTTTCTGTTTAGTTTTTTACTAACAAATACCAAACGATTCCATGTAAAATACACTATAATTTGATCATTATGATATCAAATAATTATATAATATATATTTGAAATGATAAAAATTGGACTAATTGGGTTGGTCGAGGTTGAACCATTGAATAACTTTAAAATACATTCTATTTTAGCCAATGATGTTCATTTGTTTTACTTGATGGCCAAATCCTGTGTAGGTCAGGCTCATTCAACTCTTTTATTTTATGGTTAGCGGTTAGCCTATTAGATACCATGCATTAGTTTATTGTTAAATTTTATATTTTTAGCAATAAAAAGAAGTATTGTTTTTGCCTTTTCATATATATTTTATCACCATGGAGAAATAAAAGGGCTTAAAGAAAAAAATTGACACTCCTGGACCCGTTTAAATCCGCATGTGTACGTTAAGTTGGCCAGTTCCACAGAGGAAAGAGAAAAAAATTGACACTTCATATACTACCCTTCCTACAAACGCTTTTAGAATGGCAAACCAATGATGTTCATTTGTTTTACTTGATGGCCAAATCCCGTGTAGGTCGGACTCATTCAACTCTTTTATTTTATGGTTAGGAGTTAGCCCATTAGATATCATGCATTAGTTTATTGTTAAATTTTTTTATTTTTAGCAATAAAAAGGAGTATTGTTTTTGCCTCTTCATATATATTTTATCACCATGGAGAAATAAAAGAGCTTAAAGAAAAAAATTGACACTCCTGGACACGTTTAAATCCGCATGTGTACGGTAAGTTGACCCGTTCCACAGAGGAAAAAGAAAAACATTTGACATTTTCTATTCTACCCTTCCTACAAACGCTCCTGGAGCAGGGAATTTGAAATGGGGGAAGAGTTTTTCCTCCCTGCTATTATATATTTTTAATTTAAAAAGATACAACAAATGTACTTAGTGTGATTGGTTATGATCGTTGTTTTTCTTTAAAATGGCCATGGTTCGAATCCCAGTACGTGTCTTTTTAATGAATAAAAAAAAGTAATTGTGAAGACCAAAATATCCTTCCTACTTTCACTCTCGTTGCAGGAAATTTGAAATGGGGCTCCCGTTCGACCTATATACCTTAGAGGAATTTTGCAATGCTATATAGCATTGGTGCTATAAGTATTTTCTTTATGGTACAACTTGAAATTGTACATTTAACGTTATGGTACAACTTCATATTGTACATATACTTTTTATACAAATTCTTTTAGGGTGCGTTTGGATAAGTGGATTTTAAATGTAAGGTATTTGAAATACTAGCATTTGAAATGGATGTATTCGAAATATTAGCATTTGAAATACATGTAATTCAAATTCATTGTTTGGATACTCATTTGTAATTTGTTTGTATTTTGTATTTTATGATTTTCAATTTCAATTTTTAATTTTCTGGTCACTTACTACAAATTTTGGTAAATTACAGTTTGGTACCCAAAATTATTTTTTCTTACAATTTAGTACCTAAACTTTTAAAATTTTACAAAAAGGTCCTGAAATTTTGATGGTAAAATTTCATTTTGGTACCTTTATATGTTTTGCCTCACACTATAGTACCTAAACTTTTCATATTTTACAAATAGGTCCATTCTTTTGTTAGGAGGTATTTCAAATCACTAGTTGTTGAAATGTATTTGAAGTTAACAAAAAATACACTAGACATGTATTTGGAAATCACCCCATGAATTTGACACAAATCCAAATACCAAATGTAATTAATATCCAAACACATGATTTGGTATTTGGAAATCCAAATCACAAATACCAAATCCAAATCATTGTATCCAAACGCACCCTTATGGTACAACTTAAACTTGTACCTTATGTGATGGTACAACTTCAAGTTGTAAAGTTGTACCATAACATAATGATACAAATTCCTTTATGATACAATCTAAACTTATACATTTAATGTTATGGTACAACTTCAAGTTGTACATTAAAGCACCAATGCTATATAGCATAGTAGAAGTGCTCATATACCTTATAGGTTAGAAAACTTCATCATTACTCTAGCGAATACAAAACATAATAACAAAAACTTCTAAAGTCGTTATCCATGAAGACATAGCTAAGTATAATCCTATAATTGCTTCATCTAATTAATTTATTTCTTGTCATACAAATCTCCATTGTACGTTGAGTTCCCTTCTTCTCCCTTCCATATATAATTGCTTCACCCTTAACCCCTGCCATCTCTTTTAATTTTTTATGAGAGATTTGTTGCATTATGGATTTGAAGAGTCTATCGTTTGCATGATGATATAATTATGATGGATTTGTTATAAATATAACTAGCTATCAATGATTTACAAATCACACCCGAATATGTGGGATTTACAAGTTCGTGGGGTCCACAGATTTGAGTAAAAAAAAAAGAACAAATTCGTGGACCCCACGGATTTAACACCTAAGAACAAACAATAGACTTGGCTAAAACCTATCATGCTTGGGATTCGAGTACCAAATATACGACCCAAATCCAACAAGCAAACGACCCTAAAAGCTAGTCTTTCTATTTTGGAAATCATTTATTAGTATGAGAAAATTAAATCAAGTTTTTTGAAATAAAATGAAAAGTCAAGTACCACTTTTCAAAAGAGGAAAAGACCAAATGACCAACATATATATATATATAGTACTACAAACCCTATGCTATCCCCCTATTCTCTTCCTATATAAGGGTAGAAGAGGAGATTGATCAGCAAGTATCTCATTCTTGCACTTAGGATTTCATATTGAAGACCAAGTTGGATCAAGTGAAGAAATATTTCCAAGCATGACGCAGAGGGCTTATTTGACGTTGTTCTGCCTCGTGCTTTTGGCTTTTGCTATTTCGGGTACGTATATCATCGTATAATCGAGCCAACTTCCATTTCCCAATCACGTCATCATCCAAACCAAACTAGTAAGGAAAACAAAATTGGGTTTGAATTAATTAATTTACAGGTGGGAAGAAGAAGAACATTGGAGCAGAAGGCAGAGAGGTGAACCTAATCTGTCCAAGCATACCCTGCAAAACTAACGCAGATTGCAAGGGTGGAGACCCCAATTATGTATGTTCCCCTCTGGTTGGCTGCATTTGCCGCAACGCCAAAAAACAACTCGAACAAGCTAAGGCAACTGAAAATATGGATCCGCCGGAGGAATAAATAAACAGATCGATCGAGACACCAGTTGCGCAAATCAAATAATTACTTTTCTTGGTCTTTTTTCGGACTGGAAGGAAATGTAACATCGTTCCGACTTCAGCCTAAATTAATCGAATGAAAATATTGACGGTGTAATCAACCAAACTTATTCCGCTTTGTTTCATTACGAGTCATATATAACATGTGTTGCCAAATTCGCTTTTCTTTTGACATGCATCCAACTATATATCCTTTCATCCATTTTTGCTTAGATCGATTTTCATTTCCAATTCTCGATCATAAGATTTTTCGATCTCTAGTTCATGTGACAGCTCACTTATGTTGACTTTTTCACCCAAAAGGAAGCGTTATGTATAACTACTCTATTGTTTCAATAATTAAATTTTTTGGGAACAACAATTCAA